TTTTCATTTTTCATTTACTATTTTTAGCTATGGCAGCCCCTAAAGGGATCAGCATGCCCATTCACGCACTACAGTGCATAATTCACGCACAACAATTCTAGATGCACGCATAAAAATTGTAAGTAGGGGGTACATGCATGCAAAGTGAAATCGTCGAAATGAATGTTTGGGATAGCCTAATTTGCATATCAACTAAATGTTGTTGCCATCTACCCATGGTTAGGAACAGTCTAAACCCGGTCATAATTGCATGTCTGCTTTCAAAGTCATCTCAGTCTGATTCGGAAATATTTTAGTCATGTTTTGATGTCACATGTACTGTCTTAAGAAAAAAGTTTTGGATATTTACCTTTATATTTAACTTCCAAAAAGTAGACACCAACAAAAAGATGTTTCCTGCTTAAAATCTAACCTCTAGCTCATTGGGTTTTTTAAAAGAAGATTTTTTAAGTTTTAACTATACACATATAGTTAACAAGAGCACCGCTAGGCGCAGCATTATATGCCCGAAAGTGTTTTTTTTTTTAGTAAGGATGAAGCATTTGAATGACATGGGAATTTGCTGTTCATCCTATAAAATTTTACAGCTGTAGGTTGATTAATACTTAAGTTATTAATAATGACCTTAACCTTTGACCTTGTGACTCCTAAATCAATAGGGGTCTTCTACCTTATATGGACAATCATCCTAAGAAGTTTGAATATTGTGGGCCAATTGGAACTTTAATTATGCTCTAGAAAGTGTTTTCAGTATTAAGGTAAAAGTGACTTTGACCTTGTGACCCCAAAATCAATAGGGGTCTTCTACCCAATATGGACAATCATCCTATGAAGTTTGAATATTGTCGGCCAAATGAAACTTACGTTATGCTCCGGAAACTGTTTTTGGTTTTAAGGTAATTGTGACCTTGTCCTTTGACCTAGTGACCCCAAAATCAATAGGGGGTCTTTTGCCCAATATGGACAATCATCCTATGAAGTTTGAATATTGTGGGCCAAATTGAACTTAAGTTATGCTCCAGAAACTGTGTTCAGTTTAAAAGATATAGTGACCTTGACCCATGACCTTTTGACCCCAAAATCAATAGGGGTCTTCTACCTAATATGGACAATCATCCTATGAAGTTTGAACACTGTGGGCCAAATGGAACTCAAGTTATGCTCCGGAAACTGTTTCCAGTATCAAGGTAATAGTGACCTTGACCTTTGACCTTGTGACCCCAAAATCAATAGGGGTCTTCTACCCAATATGGACAATCATCCTATGAAGTTTGAACATTGTGGGTCGAATGGAACTTAAGTTATGCTCCGGAAACTGTTTTCAGTTTTAAGGTCATAGTGACCTTGACCTTTGACCTTTTGACCCCAAAATCAATAGGTGTCTTCTACCCACTATGGACAATCATCCTATGAAGTTTGAACATTGTGGGTCAATTGGAACTTAAGTTATGCTCCGGAAAATGTTTTCAGTATCAAGGTAATAGCGACCTTGACCTTTGACCTTGTGACCCCAAAATCAATAAGGGTCTTCTACCTTATATGGACAATCATCCTATGAAGTTTGAACATTGTGGGTCGAATGGAACTTAAGTTATGCTCCGGAAACTGTTTTCAGTTTTAAGGTCAGAGTGACCTTGACCTTTGACCTTTTGACCCCAAAATCAATAGGGGTCTTCTACCCAATATGGACAATCATCCTATGAAGTTTGAACATTGTGGGCCAAATGGAACTTAAGTTATGCTCCGGAAACCAAATTGCTAACGGACGGACGGATGTACGGACGGACGGACAGACGGACGGACGGACAGACAGACAGACGGACGCATGGGGGTATAACATAATATGCCCTTTCGGGCATATAAAAACAATGACACCTCTGGGGCGGGGCCAGTTTTAACCCCAGGGCTTTTATTTGAACAAACTTTGTAGACACTTACTAGAAGATGTTTCATTCTTAATATCTAAACTCTAGCTATTTGGGTTTTTTCAAAGAAGATTTTTAAGTTTTTGCCATACACATATAAGGAAAATCAATGACCCCCGGGGCGGGGCCAATTTTGACCCCAGGGCTTTTATTTGAACAAACTTTGTAGACACCCATTAGAACATGTTTCATGCTAAATATCTTAGCTCTAGCTCTTTGCGTTCTTTAAAAGAAGATTTTTTAAGTTTTTACTATATGCATAGAGGGAAAATCAATGACCCCCTGGGGCGGGGCCAATTTTGACCCCAGGGCTTTTATTTGAACAAACTTGGTAGACACTCACTAGAAGCTGTTTCATGCTTAATATCAAAACTCTAGCTATTTGGGGTTTTTCAAAGAAGATTTTTTAAGTTTTTGCTATACACATATAAGGAAAATCAATGACCCCCGGGGCGGGGCCAATTTTGACCCCAAATCTTTTATTTGAACAAACTTTGTAGACACCCATTAGAACATGTTTCATGCTAAATATCTTAGCTCTAGCTCTTTGCGTTCTTTGAAAGAAGAATTTTTAAGTTTTTACTATATGCATATAGGGAAAATCAATGACCCCCTGGGGGCGGGGCCAATTTTGACCCCAGGGCTTTTATTTGAACAAACTTGGTAGACACCCATTAGAAGATGTTTCATGCTAAATATCTTAGCTCTAGCTCTATGGGTTCTTTAAAAGAAGATTTTTTAAGTTTTTACTATACGCATATAGGGAAAATCAATGACCCCCTGGGGCGGGGCCAATTTTGACCCCAGGGCTTTTATTTGAACAAACTTGGTAGACACTCACTAGAAGATGTTTCATGCCAAATATCTAAGCTCTAGCTTTTTGGGTTTTTTAAAAGAAGATATTTAAAGTTTTTTCTTTTGGTTGCCATGGCAACCAGAGTTCTGCATGGAATTAAATTCTTTGAACAATTTTTAAAGGTGACCACCAAAGGAACATTCCTGTGAAGTTTGGATGAAATTGGCTTAGTGGTTTATGAGGAGATGTCATTTAAAGTAAAAGTTTACGGACGGACGGACGGACGACGGACGGACGGACGGACGCCGGACGAAAAGCGATCACAAAAGCTCACCCTGTCACTTTGTGACAGGTGAGCTAAAAAATCATTGCTGTTTCAAATGAAACCTCGAAATAAGTTTCCCTTTGGGATACCTCTTCGTCACAACATGACGTCACATAAATACATGACGTATTTTTCCCGTACTTAACGAATGTAAACAAGAGAAAAGGAGTAGTCTATTGAACGCAATATCAAGCTTTCACAAGGTCATATTTGTTTTTGATACTGATGGTAATATGTATCATTACTCTACTTTGGTAAATATTTACAATATTTACAATATTAAAAGTGCTTTTAAATCGGAATTTACACCGAGTAAAATCGAACCGTACGCGCATCACCTCAGCGCATGTTGTTTACAACGTTGGGTACCCAACAGGGAAATTTAGTGTGTATATTACCCGTCTGGCTCAGTTATATCAATTTCTTTCGGGTGATCAATATCCAATCAAAAAGGCGGAAAAAATCTGGAAGGGTAATTAATACATATATAATTTCTCTTGTGATTATGTAATATATACATATATAAAGCACTTACTGTAGTAAGATCAAGGAAGATTGTTTGAAGAACCTTCATCTCTCTCAGATTAACAATGGTGATTCCTGATACAACATATTTTCCTAACTCTGTCTCATTAATGTTGTTTATATGCTCGAAATTTTCTGAAAGTCTGAAAATATTCAAATAGGTTTACCTCTACCAACAAGGTGATATAGGTTTTGGTATACAAGCTAAATACCGTATATCAGGTTTTTTCTTGTGTATCTAATTCTCGCTTTATTCGTGTGCAATAAATATCAAGAAAAATAGATTCCCCAAATTTTCCTTAATTCTAAATTTTCCTTCAATTTAATATGGGGATTTCAAGTGTTTCTGGAATTTTAATGCGCTTTAGATTTGCTGTCCAGTTTAGTCATATATATTTGACATTGTGATACCTACAAATCAATTGAGCCACGCCATGACAAAACCAACATAATGGGTTTGCAACCAGCATGGATCCAGACCAGCCTGCGCAGCTGCACAGTCTGATCAGGATCCATGCTGTTCACTTACAAACTCTATAACAAGTAAAGAAACCGTCATGGCGCGGCTCAATTTATTTGATATTGATTTTAAATATTCATGGTTGTTCAGAATTAAATGTTATTTTATAATTCTTTTTTCCATTTTTTTTTTTTAAGTACATAAAATAAACTTAAGTGACACAGTTAGCAAACAGTATTTTTGTTTATGCTTATTAAACTGATTGTCTGATATAATAAGATGATTCGCATCTTGCAAGTAGTTATACTAACAATATGGTAAGACAAGATAATGTGATGAACATAAATTGAATTGGAAGACAGAAAATAAAGACATTAAATCCAGTCATTATTTCTTTAAAACTCAAACATTATAAACAATAAGTCCTCTGGAAAGAATATGTGCCTGGATCATATCTATTAACCCTTTAATATGAGCAAATTATGTGTACCTGTAATCTTCATCATCAAAGTAATAGGAAACTGGAATGATTAACTCCTCTAACTTGTTGTCATTGTTGATATCAGCGATCACTGGGGTAGCCATAACATGGGCATCAACAGGGAGGTAACTCTTGTCCTTATATAAAGATGTATATACATGTAAGTAGTACATTTATGAAATAAGCTCAGTTATGGGTATATCTACTTAAAACTTTAATCTTGATATAGACTTAAACAAAGAATAACTAAGAAGAATTTATTTGGATAAGACTGTTCATTTAGCAAATACATCTCCTGTTAAGTCATTAAGTCAATTATATATACATGCACATTTATTATTGGTTAGGTTCTAAGTTACACCTACACTGTATAAGCCATATGGCCACTTTCCAGCTTTACTGTAGAAGATAGAAGATTCACATTATTTCACACATGAGTACAACCACTATTAATAAGCTACCAAGATAGTTTCTTAACATTAAAGAAACCATAGGCTTAATTGTTTCCTATTGAAGTTAAAGAGTAATATTGAAGGAAAATTTACAGATATTTTCATTACAAACAGAAAAGGGTTCAAACTAACAAGGGAACAAACAGAATGCTTACATGTTTAACACTATCACTGGCTTCCTTTACATATGTTTTTATATCATCACCGGATACCGACACCACTTGATTATACCAATCCTCCTTCACATAACCTGGTGCTATCTGTAAGGTAGTTATAAACAGTATTTCTAATTTACACTTAGTTATATTTTCACAATAAATATATAATAATACACTGCAAATATTTTACATTATCTGAATTTAGACAATAATTTCTTCTTGACACTTAAAGTACAATTTGATATTCTATGCAAACTATGAAACTAAGTCTTTAATCAAATATGTTAGTTGATGTTCAGTAGATGATAGTGATGTCTGCTAAGTAAACAAGAAGACGTATACCTTAAAAATGTGAGGAGACAAAGTAATATAGTAATATAAAGTTATTTACAGTCACTGGTACCTATTAGCATAAGAAGATGTATCCACTACTTTAGGTGACTGACATTGTACTGAAATAGTGAGCTTGTATAATAATAATAATTATAATAATAAAATATGATAATAATAATAATAATAATAATAATAATAATAATTATATTATACTCTCATGAAGATAATTACCTCCATAAACTTGTCCTTTATGGCAGTTCCATTTGGTGTATAAAATAATATGTCACCAGAGAATGTTACAAACAGTATATCTAGCATACCATCTCCATCTATGTCAAACTGTAAATAAATCAAATGAGTATAATACATACAATATGCATGTAAGAAGAAACATTTAAATATCATAAATAAAATCATCTGATGCTAGAATAGTCAATATAACAAATACAAGCAAACATGACTAATATTAGGAACTAACAATATGTAAACTATTTTTTTTTTACTATATCTTAATTACAGTTTTATATGGCATTTTTACTAAAACAGTTGCTTTAATATTGAAATCACAGGCTCATTCTACTTAATATAGAATTACAATAATGTTTATATTAGACTAAATTGTTATACTTTAATTATTAGCTATCTAGCTTTATTTTGTAATGTTCATGATATACATATTCTGACATATTCTGACTCAAAAAAATGTTGGTAATGTGAGTGACAGTGTCTAATTATAACATTGGACACAGTGCCTTACTTTATTTATCCAGCTTCACTAAATATCATGTTTTTAATTGCATTGACCATACATATTATGCTGTTTCTAGAATTATTTCCAAAAACTCCTGTAAAATTCCTAATAAAGGCCCCTCCACTTATTAAAGCCCACCCCCCCCCCCCCCGGCTTTTTGATATGAAAAAAAATCTGCTAATCAGTGGTGAACTCTTTAATAAATCCGTAATATTTTATTTCATAGTAATCACAAAAATGTATCACATGAACTTTAAAATCAACACATTTTAATGTTATTACCAACACTTGTTAACACTTAGTGTATTTTAAATGATTTTTGGATTTAGGAAAAAAACGTGTTGTAATAATAGCCCCCTTTTGGAAAATGTTTAACCCCCGGGGGCGTTTAATAGGAATTTTACGATATATCTTTAATGAAACCATTAACCAAGTAAGTTATAAATATCATTTTAATTTTAATTTAGCTCAGTTACATCTCAAATGTGAAAACCAATATAATTATCACATTGTGCTGAATTTTTCTTTTTCTTTTCTTCAACTTAAAACTAACCTGTAGTGGTGAAGCCAAAATGGATGTATCTAGTTTTTGTGTTGGCCACCTGGATTCAGTAAGTGTTTTTCCATTCTCTGCCTCAACAACTGTTTTAGACTCACTAAGTGGAGCAGCTATAATATCAAGTCTACCATCCCCATCTACATCACTGATCAGTGGGGCTGCTGCAAATGGGGAATGGGCAATTTCAGCTGTCCATAGTTTCATCAGATTATATCCACATCTAAAATGAAAAGACTTCATTATATAAATTATTAAGTGTTCATATACACTAATGTAGTGTAAGATTTTTCCCGCTGTCTTTTTTGGTTTTATCAAAATGCATAGCAGTATGCATGTATTTTTCAACAACAAATATAAACAATCTCTTCAAAAATTCTACTTATATTCGACTAGAATGTGCATTTAGTGAACATTTTAGTGATAGTGTAAAACCAAAAAAAAAAGAGATGAACTAGGCACTGGATCAAGACAACAAAATTATGAGTTACTAAGTCAAACAGACTGACTTGCATTCTTATTTCATGGGATGAGGTCTTATACCAAAACAAAAATGGTAATTCAGGACAGGGAGGTAAAAAGGAATGTTTTAAGAGATATACTATGCTCATCCTTGAGTAATATATTTTAATCAAAGGAATTAATTAAAATCTATGAAATTCATACTGAATGAGTCTAATTTGAATAACAGAATAATTAAATTTTGTATGAGAAACTGCGTTCCCTATTACAGGTCAAGTAAAGTAGATCTTAAGTCTTTTCTTAAAATAACTGACTAAATATTCATGAATAAATATTCTAAATATTGTGACCATCTATAGTGTATAAATTTTTAAACATAACATAGCTACATTGTGTGAACTCAAAAAAATCTTATTTTATATTTACAAAAAGACTGTGTAGCAATTATCAATATTTTCTGATATCAAATTTGAGCAACGTATATCTTTAACATTTATTTTACTAACTTCATTTTTTTTCTCAACTCAAATGCTATCACTGCATTATGAATGATGAATAATCAAGATGCTTGTATTAAAGTATGTTAATTGTTTTTCTTCAATTTTTGGCACATTTATTTCTCCAGGGCAAATGAGTTCTTTTATGATGGGTTGGTTACCCCTGGGGTGTAACATTTTTCAAAAGGGGGCGTTTAATAAAGATCAAAAAAAAAGATTTAAAAAAAAATATCTCTTTTCAAATGATAAAAAAAAATCCACAAAAACATCATCATTCTGTCAACCCATGATACCTTTGATCTACACCGCGAGCCCTCTAATTTTCCTCCCAAAATTCCCAAAGAACCTGCTTCCAGTTGACACCTTTGATCTTGCCGACAATCTGACGTAATCAATGCTACTTTCCTAATTTACGATGCGTCAAAATTTCTAAAAATCCTTACTTACAAGTTACATCAGGTTTTTATTTTCCAAAATTTGCAAATTCAGGAACAACTTTTCCCAAAATCAAGAGGCTAATTTACCAATAAAGAAAACACCAACACAGCATTTTCATCGTCCCCAAATTTATCATCTAATATAGAATCAGTGTCATAGACACGGACTGTTAAATGATTTTGATTGGATTTGAACAGTTGAATAATCTGATAAATTATGTATTAATGATTATTCTAGATTAGTTTGTATAACAAATTATGAGATTCTCGAATAAAACAGGAAAATTTCTAAAAATCCTTAATTATCTCAAAATCAGAAGCAAACTCCAGGAAATAATGTACCGAAATATATTTATTGATTTATGTATGACACTTAAGTACATAAAACTCAATATTACTTAATAATGGATTAATGTAAGAACTAACATTATAGAACATAATCCATGATAATTTATAAATGTCCAAAGTCAATATAACAAAAGGGCTTACATTAATCAGATTCCGCCCTTACATTAATCAGATTCTGCTATATTTTCAACAGCACACAAACAAAATTGCCCTTGGATGACATAATACACAACACAAAAAAACTAACGAACAGGTATATATAATGTACCTAATCAAAAAAACACAAAATAATAGGCGGGCGGGAGTGGCAAAATTTAACATTCCATGAAAAACGTGTCATACAAACTGTACCAAAAACTAGTTGAGCGACTTATTTATAATAACCGCGGATGAATACAAAAAATCAGTCAAGCAAATCAAAAACAAGTCACTGATTTTAAAAGGGAGACTATAAGCCAGGTAACAGACGTAATAATAAAAAAGCCCCTGTCAATATCGATAATTAAAAGATTTTATGTTTCACAAAAATACTTCAAATTATCTCAAAATCAGAAGCAAAACTCCAGGAAATAATGTACCAAAATATATTTATTGATTTATGTATGACACTTAAGTACATAAAACTCAATATTACTTAATAATGGATTAATGTAAGAACTAACATTATAGAACATAATCCATGATAATTTATAAATGTCCAAAGTCAATATAACAAAAGGGCTTACATTAATCAGATTCCGCCAAAACCCGCCAAAACATAAAACATAAAGAAAAAAAAAAACAAAAAACAAATCACTGACAAAATACATATCAATCAATGTTACAAATTTAACAAATCTAATAATCATAAAAGAATGCAGCAAAATCAAAAACTATATCAATCTCAACAAGACTAGGGTAACGTCAAGAAAACCATTACCACAAGTCTTCTAACCTCGAAGAAGTGACAAAAACCTCCTTCAAAAGGTAACAAAAACGTGTAAGACATAAAGATACTGTCGAACCACGTACAAGAAGTCTAAAGGAATAAGAACAACTCCCTTTAAAGACTATGTATCTGAATCAAAATAAAGCACCATGAACAATTTTGACAGAGCTACATTCATTGAAATAACAAACTTATATACAGACATAAACTTAACATATAAACATGAATATATACATATATAACATACAGTGCTACATGCTGAGCAAACAACATCTTACAGAACCACTTTACCTTTAACCAAATGCGACACAGTATTAATGAAAAAACGGCGTAATAAACGCGTGCCTTCTAAATTCAAATGAAGACCTTTGTCTTTAACAGCAAATAGTGAACGAATTGGTTTACCAAACTTGAAAAAAGGCCTAAATGAATGAATAAATTGACAATTCCTTTCTTTACATAGACCTTCCAACAACTTATTGACTTGTTTAACTTTCGCACTTGTATCCATATAATCACACGGACGAGGCAAAATAGAAGAAAAGACAATATGAGTATGAGAATTAATACTCCTAATCAAAGTAATCAGATTATTGAAAAAACTAATAATCTCATCAACTGAATAATTCTCCCTAGAATTAATGTCATTAGTGCCAACATGAATAATTGTGAAAGGTTTTGACACCAAAAAATGAGCATTCTATATCCTAGCTGAGAGACGGGCTATGTTAATCCCTGGGAAGGCAATCACCTTGGTATGCCAAATGCCGCTAACGTCCTTGGCAATGGAATCAGAAATAATATGAACCATCAGGCCTGGAATGACAAGAAAAACAGATAACCAAATCATTCTGTTTCTAATACAAACATCCTAGATAAAATATCAATTTTATCATTCCAATTAAGATCTAAATAAACCTTATAAGCGTCCGATTTCCAATCACCTAGTAATTGAATAAGCTCATGGGGGATATTTGACCTATGTGCAAGAGTTGCAAAACCCCGTCTAAAAGAATGACTGGAAAATTTCTCACAATCTAAACCTATCATTTGAATACATTCCCTTAACTTTTTCTGAAACAAATAATATGTAACCACTGAACCATTTGGTAAAGTAAATAACACATGACGATGTTGACGAATTTTCAAAGATAAAAGCAAATCATAAGCTGTTACAGGACATAACCTCCTATCTTTTAATCTAACTAAGGGACATATAACCTCTCTTTCTCCAAATTGTATAGTTTTTGACCAATTAAAAATGTATTAAAACATAATTACCACAATGGCGAATACAATTAGAGTTCAAAAATTTACCTTTATCAATATCATCCAAAGAAGTGGGAACCAAATTCGATTTTCTTGCACAAAGAAAAAATGCAAAAAGAAATAAACACCAATAAACAACATTGTCTTTAACAGAAAAATCCAACTTTTCAAAAATCCCCAATAAAATATCTAAAGTAATAGGCTCTGCACGTTGAACAGCCCAAGGATTTTAACCTAGCAATACCTTTAAGGGATAAATTAAGTAAATAAGTATTAATAAGATCAATGTTATAACCTAAACACATATGCAATGTCTTCACTCCACTAATATAATTCTTAATACTTTGCACTGATTTAAAAGATCTACTAAGAAATTGAGCATATAATTGTAAAGTTGATGTAGAAGCAGGTAAATAACAAAGTCCAAAATATAAACAAAATAAGATGAAACTTTCCCACTGTATATGCAAATTCTTGTTGGTACCATCAGCAAAAGCTGATCTATGTGACTTCCTGAGATCCTGTTTAAGAATCACAAACTGTTTCTCTGAAACAAATTACAATTACCAATCATGAAGAAATCTAAAAATATCTTCAGGAACAGCAACATTCTCCAACAAAGAAACATGAGAAACTTGTTCATAAAATGCATTAATATACATAGGATCTGAATCCCATCTGGACAAACAATCTGCAATACGATTCTCATCTGAACTGAGATGAATTGCTTTGATTTGAATCTCATTAACTGAGGTAATAAAACATAGCTCCCGTAAGCACTTTTGTAAAAATAAACTCCGAGTTTTGCCCGTATTGATAACAATACAAACTGCTTGATTATCACAATAAATAACCACTTTTTTCTTTCTCAAAACAGCACACCATAATTTAAGAGAAACAATGACAGTTAACATCTCCAAACATGTAATGCTCAAATTCTGATTTAAAAATAAAACCAGGAAAAACACTGTGGAAAAAACTATTACCACAAATTCCACCACATCCTGTTAAACAACTATCACAACTAAAAACCGAATCTACTAGCGACCATTCTCCATAATCAATCAGAGATTTGCCCTGAAATATAGATAAAAATTTATGCCACCACAACAAATCTTTTTTAACGTCATTAGTCACTAAAAATTTATTTGAAGAACAAGCATGACATTCTCTAAAACCAATTCAAAATCCTGTTAACAAATATTCTACTTGACCTAACACAAGCACCCACAAAGTTAAGTTTACCCAACAAACTTTGTATCTCTTTTAAAGTAACCGACTC